CATTTTTAAAGATACCTAATCATTTTGAAGTTCTACTACCCCCCCTCTTCCAAAAAAATGTATAATATGTAACTATTTTTGTAAGTACCTTATTTAGGTTTCAATTAACTTTACCCCTTTGGCTTTGGCATTATAAAAACAAATAACAAAATATCTATAATGTTACCTATTCAACATTGCTGTTGATGCATATACTATAATAAGGTATAATAGGTATAATAGGTATAGGTATTTGTATCATTCTCTACTAGTCTACATACCGGATACTTCATATTATAATATATAAGGACCTGATTAATATTATTCATATTAATTGTGTGTGCTAAACAACTTTTGAGTGTCTACCACCGCATTATTATATAATATTTAATATTCAAATAAATAATAAATAATATTCAATATTTTAATAAATTTTAATAAATAATAATTAATAAATGATCAAATAAGTCTGTAAGTACATTTAAAATAATATAATCTCAATCGGGTAATGGCTCTGGCTGTAAGGGCCCATTTAGCCAAAGGCCYAGTCGGCAATCGCCGACTCGCCGACCTGGCCAGGTCGCCACTGTTCATAAGCAGTAAAAAGAATCATATTAACTGTTACTATTTAAAAGAAAAAAAGTGTTATGAAAACTATATTACATATAGGTATTGAAAAAATGTAGTTTGGGAATCATCACCATTCTTTTTAAAATTATAAAATATGCTCGTACCAAAATGAACTGGACAGATTATACCCATATATTTTTAGTTTAAATAATAGTAGCTGATAGAATTACTAAGCCTCTAACATACAGATTAATCTAAGTATAAAATACAAATTATTTCCAGATGAATTTTAATTGTAAATATAGAAAAACCTCTAAACAAACATGATGATAACCAAAACATTAACAATAATAGGTCTACTTTATGGTATCAATTTTTTTTTAAGACACTTGAAGAAATTTAAAAAAAAAGATTGATGTGATAATTAGAAAAGTTTGAACTTCCCTCCAAACATCAATTTGGTTTTAGCCCGAGTATWAGAACAGAAAAAGACCTTTATAGKGTAGCTAAGTTAATGAATCACTCGACAATGGTAAAAAAAAAACTCTAGCGATATTTTTAGATATTGCAAATGCTTTTTATTCCGTTGATCATTCAATACTCATTGATTTACTACCGAATTTGGTGTATACTTGAACTGGTTTAAAAGCTTTTTACTAAACAGGAAACAAAAAGTTAAAATTAATGAAATAACTGGTGACTATTTGTCTAAAGATTGTGGTGTATCACAGGGGAATGTTTTTGGTCCAACTTTATTTATCTTATATAATGTATATAAATAAAATTTATAATCTAAACATCAACGGTTTAATTGTTACATATGCAGATGAAACTTGTTTTCTCTTTTCAGCTGACTACTGGTGTTATGTTCTTATAAAAGCATCTATTGGTTTCAAAAAAACAATTAATCATCTTAATCATAGGAATTGTCACTAAACTGTAAAAATTAATAAATTT